GTTTTAAAAACTAATCTAATATACATATGATATACATATTACATATATTATCAGTTTAATGCCTTTAATTAATATATATATATATATTTATGTTTCACATTTCCAATTATATTAGATTAAATCATTTTTCGTCGTGCATTAAATATGCATTTATTATAGAAATTAAAGACTACGAATAAATTTTTTCACAATATTCATACAATATGATTGTTATATTCGATATACATAATTTCAGTCCAAGATTTAGAATTAAATTGTATGCAAATAATAGTAATAAATGTGGCCGACATTGGATAAGATACTCATTTTATCAGATACTATAGAATATTTTTGTAAAGAGAAAATTATTTGGTTTAAAAATCTACAATATTTTGTAATAAAATATTTTTTTTATTCCTTTAGAGATAAAGAAAATTTAACTTTAATTTTCCTATATGGAAACCTTTATTCATATAAAAAAAATTTGAAGGAATATAATTATTTATAATTTTTTTCTTTAATATTATTAAGTTAAAAATGGGGATTCTCATTTAAGAAAATTAAAGTTAAGATTATTTATCGTTGAAGAGAAAACAAAATTATATTACACTACTTTACAGTATTGTAGAGTTTTTTGAACCAAAAAATGTATCTTTTATAAATAATTAAAAAATTCAAAAGTATCTGTGAAAATAAGTGTCTTACTCAAAATCGATCACTCTGTATAATGCTGTTGTTTACAAGAGAAATTATGCTTCTTTAATATAAAGACAACTGTATAATGGATACCATTTTGAATAAAGCTTATCGTCGTTTAAAAATAACTACTGTGGTTAGTACTTTGAAATCGTTTACATTTTTTTTGTCACGATACTAACAAAGGGTTTTAAAACATGATGTTCACAGCATAATAATTACTAACTAAATAACAATAAGGATCACCATTACGAAACGTATGGCGTTACATGTATACATGTGAATACAAAAAATAATAATATATAATAAATCCATTAAAAATATTATATTCTTATACTTTTATTAAATAAAAATTTTTAGTATTAAAAATTACTTAAGTTTATGAATCATACACATTTGTTAATTGCACTTTATCAAAATAAAAACACAATTTGTTATAAATTGAGTAATAATAGCCAAAATAGGTCAAGTGGATTCACATTTATCAAGTTTTAGTGAAAGATATATTTTTTTTTAGAATATTCGAAATCGCTCTTACTTTATTAATAAAAATTTTTTACGGTAAAACAATTATGCTTTGTGAATTTTCATATTTATAAAAAAAAATTTCCATAGAATCACAAAATTCTATTTCGTTGTTTTTAAATTTTTTTTTTAACGATGACGAGTGTTTGCACTAATGAAATATTTGATCAAAATTTTTAGTTTTCCAATTCAATTTTTTTTTATAAAACTATTTAAAAGATGTTCTAAACAAATGAGTAGGGGAATAAAAAATAATAATGCACAGAAACTATTTTATTTTCTAATTATTAAGGAAATATTCAAAACATTAGTGGACAATTCTTTTCTTGAAATTTTACGTCTTGTTTTTGTGTTATGTTTCCTTATAACTTCACTTTGATGCTTATCACTAGTTTCTATGCTTTTAAATATTATTGTGCCAAAATATTTCAATCTGGCATTTTATCAAGTGTTGAGTCGAGCTGACCCCAGTTTACACAGTTCGAATATTTATTACATTTTGCCCTAAACATTACTTATCACTGATTTTATTATTTTAAGGAAATCATATTCTTTCGTTTTGAGCTATTTTGATTTTATAGTACTATTTTGGCTAGTTAGTACACAAAACAAAATCAGACTTGATATTTTGGTTGGATTGAACTCAGTCCAACTACTTTTATTATTATACTCTATTTACCAGGTTGTCCTGGCAGATCGAGTAATCTATCCATTAATGTGTCCTCTGTACAGCTTCATTTTATGCGTTTAGAATATATTAATCAGATTTTTGTGATTCGTGTCAATGGTTGATAAAAAATAATTAAGTAGCAAAAGAAAGGATAAACGATTTTTACGAGAGTTATGGGACGTATAGAAACAACCACGTGTGCCTCGAGGTCGTTTACCGGAGTCATTAAGCTGAAAAACTAAGTAGACACGTGATGAAAAATTATGCGATGACGGCGTGCCTTGTTAAGACAAGACAAGCTAGTGTGGCATATCTCTTACCAGATGTTGTTTATAAAATGGTTTAAAAGATAATACTTAAAAACCTAGTTACACCCTCTTGTTCATTCTATTATGTTATAACAGAGATTTTGAAGGTTCGTTAAAAACACTGGTGCTAGTTAATTCACTTAGAAACTAGTAACGTGTAAACTATTAATTTTAACTATCAGTCGTGATAGATAATCAGTATAAAAAATATTTTGTTTGATAATTTAAAAATAATGTATTTTAATTTGAGTTCAAACTGAATTATGCGTTCATATTTTAAAAACCCTAAAAAATTGTTTTCACTTAAAATACATACATGTTAATGGAAAAAAGTTTTTTTTTATCGGCTAGTAATAAATTATTATTATTGTCATTGAAGTTTATATATATATTTTTCCATAGAAATTTTGATATTATTTAATTATCGAATTATATTAATCGAAATATTTTTATGACAAGAAATAAATAATAAAGTATGTGTTTAGCGTTGATAGTGGTAACATTGTTTCCGAAATACGTATCCGCGACTTTTCATTAATTTTTTGTGGCTTTGAGTTTAATATTTTTTAGTTTTTTAAATTAATAATATTTTTAATATAGTTTTAATTTTACTTAAGAAATAAATAAACTGAGCAAGGTTTCAATTTCATAGCGAAACGCCCGTAATAAGATAACCTCATATTATTTTTATAATTAATAATTAATAACAATTTGACAATTATATAGGTATATCAACGATAAATCAAAATTCGTTATAACTTTCATAACTACATGAATTGTGATTTTACTAATCATACTGATTTTACATGGAAATACAGGAAACACAAACGGCGTCATAATGTCGCTTTGCAGTTCAATGTAAATCACAGGCGACTAAAAATAAGCTAAGCAACCCACAACTACAACGACGTCTCTGTTTTTAATGACCTCGTTTTGCATTCGACCATTTCCAGTCAAGTTACTTTTCAAACATAAAATTCTAAATTATACCTTTTCAATTCAAATGTAGGAAATATATAAAAACAAATTTAAATAGCAATTAAACATATTTTAAATATTTAAAAATTCTATTGTATAAGTTTTTACAAAATTAATTGAATTGTTAACAAGGATATATGTGTTTATCTACCTTTTGCAGGCACCTAAAAAATTGCTAACCTCCACCGGGGAACTTGTGTGAGGAATAAACTACTCAGTCATCTACTATTCATAAAAAAAATTGTTATAAAATATTTTTTCAAATACTTTTTTGACGGTTAAAATATTGAAGATAAGCGACAATAACACACTTCAAAACAATAAATGTATATTTTAATAACCAATAACATTGAAAAGAGACTGGACTTATGGCGAAGTTATGGGGGCTTAGAAAACTCCACCCCATTGACAGCAATATTTATTTCTAAAATAAAATAATGAGCAGCAAAAAGAAGTTCTAAGAATGGGAATTATGTAGATTTTTTTACCATGTCCTCTCCATTATGAAATTCAGGCTAGGCCACTGGATTAGACAATATCTAAGGTATAGTTATATCACTACGTCAGTATTACTACAGCTACCATGATTACCTACTTATAATAATAATTATAATAATTATTGAAAAAATAACTTTAAAAAATAGACTGTTCTTAAAATTTGCTGCTGAAGGCTCGTAGTAAAGAAGTCACTAGTTGTTAATTACACTTTAGATTTAATAAGAATCAATAATAAATCATTAACCGTACTATACGATTTTATATTACATTAATTGATTATTTTTGTTATAGTAAATGAATAAATGTTTATTTAAGTTAGATTAAAGTTAATTAAATTTACACGATTAAGGCTTGAGGTTAATTTGAAGTATATATATTTTTAATTCAACGGCTTAATATCATTTATTATTTTCTCATCGATAGTGAAGAATTTTTAAACGTTCATATCTGTACTAAAAATTCGCCTAGCATTAAAAAAAACAAGATCGAGTATTAAGTTAGTAATACCGCTGCATAATCAACTCTTTCGCGTCATCTTCCATGACATTTTACTTTAGTTAATTATATTATAAACTGAATAAAATGTTTTTACCTTCAATCAAATTTTAATTTTTAAAATCAATTTAAAGAATTTTGTTTTAAATAACAACGACCGCATCTGATTCTTCAGACAATGTAGTTTCAAAACTAATTTTATATCTTATCAATTTAATTAAGTCGCATACTATAACAACAAAAGCTGAATTTGTATGCATTTATAAATTTTGTCAAGTTATTCTGAACACATTACCAGCCGGTACAAATTTCTATTTATAGGCTTTAATTCTTAGTAATGTGTTCTAGGTGGTGTTTATTGTTGGAAAGGATAAGGGGGATTCATTCCCTGTTAATTAAAAAATGTTAACACTACTCTATAACAATCAACAGCAACAAATTTTTACAAACTTGGTTCTTTTTAAAATAGCTCATATTATATTATAGATGCATACAAATCCGAAATCTAGTAATGCCTGTTAAGATAATAACCCTTGTAACTTGTAGCTAGTGAAACGAATAAACTTCATTTTAATGGCGTTAGCACATTTTATGACCAAGTATTTTATGAATCAACCACATTCATTGACAGTGATTATAACCGGAAACATTTTTCTGTTATCCATTAAGGTTAAGCGTTTTATTTTCAAGAGATTGATTTAAAAATACTTCGAGTGCTACTTTTACACTTATATAGTTTAATTAATACTTTTTGGAGTATTTTAACATTGGTAGAAAAAAATGTTTTGTTTATGTCTTAATTTTAGCAATAAAAAAAGGTTTTGAACAACCCCTATATATTTTGTTCTTACCATGTGGAGCATATATATTAAGATATAAACAGTCTTCGCTCTGATTTCCCAAGTAAGGCATTAGGCGTTTCAGATAGTTCATTCTGATTGCGGACATCCGTTTGTTGGTGCCGGTAGCGGAATCGCCTATTTCTGGGAGCTTTTGAGGGCATACCGGCTTCAGATATTCAGCTAACAGTGGCCGGCAGTGGCTATGGCCATGACCATCGCTGCCACTAGGAGTGGAACACCATGCTGGAGGTTCCCCCGGGGGCATAAAGCGCTCTTGAGACGCATAGGGTACACCTAGATAAACCTCTACTTGGTCAAGGTGACCACCGGGACCGGTGACTGTAGTTAACAAGCCTTTGAGTGGACCTTGACGTTCTAGCCGTACCGTATCTGTATAACCCAACACATTAGGTCTATCGACCGCAGCGACAGTGACGGCTAGCAACAGCAGTGCGGTCACTGATACCATAGCGGTCGCATCGAGCCCGGAATGAACGAGCGATCGTTATAAGACACTCTAACCAGTTGCGGCATCGACGAAAACGGTTACCTCATTTTCGTATAATCGTTATCGCACAGATATTCATACAAGAGATACACTAACAACTATAACAAAAGTCGGTCCAATTCGATTAAAAATCATACATATTCCACTAAATTACACACACGTGGTGGTCACAGCGACCAGAAAAACACTATACCGAAAATGAGGCGCGTGTTCGCTTGTTCCAAGCTACCGAATCACCGACGAGCTATTTAAAATATGTTCCAAACGCGTGCAACGGCAGTGATGGGACTACATGACCGCACTACGGACGGGCTGCCAACGTAAATATATTTTTTAAAAATAAATAAACTTATAGAGCGTTACCGACAACAGCGGTAACGTCTTGTACGTTCCCCATAGTTCTAATATAGTTTCAGCATTACCATCTATGTGACAAATAAGGACTACTTATACTTAAAGAAATTTACTCTTGTTGTTCCAGAAGGCATTCTTAAAAACCATCATCACTACTTTATTCGTTATTAATAACGTTGTTCTCATTTAACTACATCATATGTAATAGAATAAAATGTTTCTGAATTAATTACAATAGACAATTTTATAATATGTATATTCTAAAATTCGTTTTTTCCTTTTTAAAAATTTCAGTTATTAAAAATGCTTACCAAATGTTTTTTTTATAATGTTTAAATTTAAAATTAGTGTTATTTTATTATTATATCAATTACGCAATAATAACTGTAACAAAGTTACAGTTAAATTTAATTGAAAAATTTTATTAATACATATTAAACGTAAATAACAAATTTATATCTGATTTTTTAAACTTATTCCAATTCACATTATTTAATATCTGATCTTTGAATAAAATGAATTTATGCAAAAATAAACATTTTTAAAGAAAGCGTAAATCAATTTTAAAAGTTTTATTCAATACTTGAGTTGTTTTAGTTTCATTTACCACCATTAGATAAAAATAAATCATCTAAAACAAAGATAATTAAAATTACTAACGAATATTTTTTGTAGTAATTATAAGTATCAATATGAGTTTCCTATTTCATTTTTAAATTAAAAAAAATGTTCTAAATGCTAAAAATTTAGCTTATATATACAATTAACAATAATTGTTATTCTTATAAGTTATTATCAAAGATAATATTTACTAAAATTAAAATATATTTTATTTTTAAAAATGTTATCCTTTTGAGGAATACATTTGGCATTACGTCTCAAAAAATGTATACACCTAATGTTACTACGTATTGTACAAATATATTACATAAAAACTTCTATGTATAATACATAAAGAGTATCATAAGAGAATAAATAATTATAATTTGGGTAATAAATGGGCTGTATTATTCTTAATATCATATTTACTGTCATGTTATGTCATCAGCAAACTATTCTGCATCAAGTGAAAATTAATGGTACATAACATATTATTTCGCTAATGTAGTATGTCCAATTTTTGTTTTATATAATTTCATAGTCATTTTTTATTTACTTTTATTTTATACGATATAAATTAACCATAAATAGTTTACCGTTGTTATTTGTGGGCGTAATGTTAAGCTCACCAGTTTATGTTATAACTGAAAACATGTGAATTGCCTCTGTCCTATTTATATAAGGGACATTTTTGCCAATATGATTTTTATTTATCTTGAAGGTCTAGACGCATTCCAACGAAGTTTTGCGCGTATTTATTATTATTATTACTATCAATGTTACTACTTTTGAGAGAAGGACAGGCGTTCGCCTATGCCAAAATATTAGTCATTATTTTTACCCGTTTTAGTATGATTCGTATCCCGGCAATGACAAATCATAAGTTGATACACGGTATCCTCTACTTAAATAGGTACACTTAAGCTTACTTATAAAGAGACCAAACCAAGGCCTACGCAATTTCTATATTTAAATTGTCATCCCATCATCAACAAAAACCAACGACAATGCCAAATACCGATGCAAGTGAATACGGTGGTGTTCTCACAGTATATATTATGATACTATAGACACTGTAGAAAGTCTGAGGTAATTATAAAGATGGCAATAGAGTACATATAACTGGAAGAAGAGTGGGCTCAATAAATTTGTTGACTATAATAATTTTTGTTTCCTTTTTAATGAATTTAATTAGTTTATAGTTATATTTAACAAACTATCTACCTATGTCACAGTTTGTCAAACAAATCTTGAAATTAGAAGTTATTTGTTTGTGGTTTATAAAGTAAATTAAGTCGTTACTATAATAAAATACCAATATCTCGTCTATCGGGTTTCATACATGGGGATCAGAGCAAATGTGATATAAATTCATTTTAATCAAATTTCAAATAATAATTTGAAAACTTGTATATAATACGGACTGATATAAATACAGATTTTGAAATCAATAGTATAATTTTATTTTTATCGTTGACGCCAAAAATAATGTTTCGTTTAAAATATTTATTTTCATTTCAAGCACATTTTACCAGACAGTTAACTTATGTGGGGTTTTTAGTGAATAAAGAAACAGATTTCTATTATTCTCATTGTTTGTAATAACTGACCTATTTCCTCACTTGCTGAACACTCTGTATAACAATGATTTATATAATAAACATTTATTATTTGCGGCTAATTGTTTAAAATTAAAATCATATTAAAAATATAAAAAAAAAAAAAATAGTAAAATTATCTTCTATATTTATAAATTAAACAGCCATAAAAAAAATTACTAAAAAATTGCAAATGCGTATTTCAGAAAATTATATATATTCGTATGACATAAAATAATCAAGTTTACAATTAAAATCTAGACACATCAACTAATTAAAATATCAAAAGTGAAAACAAAAATATTCTATGGTTATTGATTGGTTATTTAACCATTAAATTGCCTCATCTTCCAATTTGTGAAGACCGTGAAGCTTTTTAATAAATGAATAAATGGGATAACCTTTAGTTATGTGACTCATTGTTTGGTTCGAATATCCACATTCGCATCGAGCATTATGAGCCAGATTCCATTTCGACATCACGTGATTGCATATTCCTTGGGTACACTTTAAGTGGTTTAGGGTACTCCATTTATTCCTTGGCAAACGAAAACCCAATAATCATTATTCTGGCTGAGATACGAGATCATAATTTAAAGGTTTACTAGTAATCTATACTTCCTTTCAGAGATCACAACTGAGATCATCCATAATTTTCCATCTAAGATTACGTCTCATATTTGGTGAGTTCATGATATCCTTTGTAATATTATATTATCAATTATAATATTAGCAAATAATATAATTTTACTGTTTGCACATTAATGTCACATATTATGGAGATACAAAATCACCAAAGCAGGGTTTCCTTATTTAAAATACAAAATAACTAGCTAATATCTGGGCTAAAATAACTAGCTGAGATATAATCTCATTATTGTACAGATTTTTAAGTAATGCCTATGCACAGTTTCCCTTTTGTAATTAACCAATTAAAACAGAAAGCCGCAGCTTTCAAGATCATGCCATAGATCGCTAGACTTCTGACTATAAAAAGCGATTTTCCCTTTAAAACCAGTTCTTTCGGTAATTTCAAAATACAAAATACCTGGGACACTCTTGCAGATTCTCACTCTCTGGGACTTGGTTTTTTTTTAATTCTTTTTGTACTTAAAAAATTTTTCCAATCAGATGGAACTTAGAATAAATTTAAAGTGAACTTTGTTTTGCTGAATCTTTTATTTTGAATTTATTTGTTCATTAAATAAGGTTGTTTTACTTTTCTTATAATGTTAATTAATATTTTAAACCTCAAACATTTTAATATTACTTTATTTTCATAATAAGCCCAACTCAACTTTAATAATATATTTAATGGTAAATATTTATTGTGAGCTTTTCTTGTAGGGTAGCTAGTCACGTTGCTAATTACTTTGTCCTAATGATACTTACGAATATATATTTGGTTTAATTTTTGTCTTGGTAATTTTGTGCTGCATCCTTTCAAGGCGTCAGCGTCGGTACACATTGGGTCACCCCAATAAAGCCTTCATAACATTTTTACACAAATATAAATATTTTTGAATCTTGTTTTGCCCAGGCCATAGAAAGATTTAAGAAATATTGGTGTTGATCTTTCAATAAAATATACTCTCTCAAAAAAAAATGTATTCAACAAAGATAAAAGAAATTAAATAAGGCCAAATTATAAAGTTACATTTTTAATAAAAATATAAAGTGTTAAGAATCTTTTACATATAAAAATCTGTCATAGATTTTGTGTAGTAAAATCGTATTATTTACAATTTGGACTGTTTTCGTAAATAATTATATTGACTATGCAATACGTAGTTTGAAACGAATACGTAGTGCATTTAGTACGTGAATCAACGTTGGATTACTTAAAATATTATTACATGACATAGGACACAAAGTAAGTACAATTTAACCTACGCTTTTGAACCTCAAAGAATTTATTGCACAATAAATTATTAAGAAAAATTATAATATTTTAGGGATCTTTAACGTCGTTTACTTAAATAATAGCTTCGAAAAAACGCCGAGATGCCAATATTTATCCATTCCACAATTTTAGCCCTTTTACACATTCACTATTTTAAGTGTTTATATTATTAATTTTTTTTACTTCTTTTTTTTTTTTTTTATTTTTTGGTTTATTACACCTCAAAAAATTGTCAGACCAGGAGAATTTAAGTATTTTTGCCACTCCTTTCTTAATGACTCTTCTTGTCTCAAAGATGGAGGCGTTATATTAGCCATCACAGAAAGCCTTGGAAGGGGTGTCATCGTTCCTAATATAGTTTTTATTATCCTATTTAATTGGACAACGATTTTTGGTACATGTTTAATGTTAATCCACACTGGAGCACAATATTCCGCTGCAATAAAAACTAATTCCAGTGAAGTAATCCTAAAGCAGTTAAAGTCAATCCCAGCCATGCTAATTTGGATATACAATTATTCCTTATACTTAATTTTATTTCCTTATGTTTCTAAGTGTTGGTTAAATCTAAGGTAATACCTATCATTATTTTAGTAGCTGATTGTTTATTATTAAGATTAAAAATTGTTGCATCTCTTTAGACGGGTTTGGTTGCAACCTCCATTTGTAAAAATAGTCATAGAATGTGTTCAGGTCTTTTTCTAACATATCTTCACACATTGTAATAGCATGATATTGATTGGCTAGAGCTGTATCATCAAGATATTGAAATTTTTTAGTAAAGATCTCTGGAATGACATTAATTTAGAGGTTAAAAAAGATTGGTACAAGGACCAACCCTTGAGAAATGTTCATTACTGACTTTTTTCCATTAGCTTTGTTGGTTCCCATGTGAACTTTAAACATTCTATTAATCATGGAGCTACTTAAAAGTCGAAAAAGTTTATTGCAATGAACTATTTTTGCGAATTAGAGCATAAACCTTTACGTCATACCGTTAGACATTAAAATCTAAAATTCCTCATAATATATTTAATTATTGACTTTTAAAAAATTATTTCAATTAAAGTGTTAAATAAATAATTAGACACATTATAGAAGAGGCGCATTATCGGTCAAAACAGAGGGGGCAAAACTTTTTTTATACCCTTCAATATTTTAAATTATTAGATGACCTCTTGTTTTATGCACACGAAACAAATTTTTTCTCATTATTGGATCAATCACGTGAAAACTGCTAAAAAAAATTTTCGAACTTTTTTTTTTAATTTTATTACTTAGTGCAAAATTTAATAATATATATCATTAATATTAATAAAATGCAATAATATAGATATATTTAATTTTTAGTAATTTTTACTGAAATATGCAAATAAAAAATTTATATTTAGAATCTACACATTGCAAATCACAGACATTTTTAATCAAAATTATTTAATTAGGTTTTAAATTTAAGATTTGCATAAAAATCCATTACTTGCATATCAGGGAGATACGTAAATAATATCAATAAAAAATGAATATACCGGTATGCATAAGCATTGATTTGGGATTCTAAGGCATTACCCTCCAAAAATCTCACAAAATTATATGAATTGTTATATAAAAATTTCATCTGTGGCTAAAAATTTATTGATAAACTAATTAAAAACATAAATAACTATAAAGAACTTAATATAAAGGAAGAAATAAAAATATAAAAAATAAGAATATTTTAAATAATTTTTATCTTGGCCCATTGAATAATTCATAATTAGACTTGTGTTAACTGACAACCAACTAAATTATAATACCTTTAGGTGTATATAAGGGAGAATTTTTCGGTCAGGTTGTCAGTATGTGTTAAGCGTTGATAATGGTAACATTGTTACCAAAATACGTATACGTGATTTTTCAATTATTTTTTCTGTGACTTTTGATTTAAAATTTCGAACATTTAAAAATTGTATTATGTGTTACACTTTCATAATATTATAGTATACCTAATCAAATAAGTATTATGAACGTGGCATGTATTGTTCCTCAGTCATATATGTTTAGCTGAAGGTATTAAACCAAATCGAATTATATTATATTAATTATGACTATTTATAGCTATCCAAAAATCGTCCAACATTTATAACGTTTTTTACGATGAAATTTTATAGTCATTTTAACGTGTGTGAAGTTCAAACACAGGCACTATTTAACAAATATTTAAAAAAAAAATTTCAATGATAAACGATTAATTAACTTTTCTCATGTAGAAATTTGTTATTTTGAAAAGTGTAAAACTTATTTAAAAACACTTAGCTTTTATTGACTAATGAAAATACCATCAATAGAAAGGGAATACTTTGGTGGCAATATAAAAATTACAGATTGTTTATATTTTTTATCTATTATTCTTATAAGTACCTATTATATTAAATTTTTAAGTTAGTCAGTTGTGTCGAGCTATTACCACCCAATACTTGCTTGTACTTTGTAGTTTATATAGTAGTATATATATTAAGTATTGATAAATAATTTGTAAAAAATTTATTATAAGTTGTATTAAACTTTATTTAACACAATCCCGTCTTATGTAAACTATTGATGAGTTTATTATGTAATAAACTCAAAAATGTTTTTTGAACGTTTTAACATGAAAGTGGTTTTCTTAGTAAAAATTCCAAACAATGGAAATTTAAATGAAGATAATCTCGATCGTCATATATATAATATATTAATAGACGATTTTTAAGTTGTTAACGATAGTGCAGAAAGATTAGTAAAATTAATAGAAAAGTACTAATTGCTTCTAACTAAAAAAAAAAAAAATCATTAAAACAATATCTTTTGCAAGTTACTACAGATTAAAGAAAATACTTCTCTGATGTAAAAAAAAAAAAGCACACTAATATAATACTAATTCATGACAACATTTTCTATTTATAGTTAATAACCTGTTCGACTTTTTTTAAGAAAAATATCATTAAATAATGAATTTTTTTATAAAAATGTACAAATTATACTATAGTTTGATTTCATTTTTTCTTGATAAAATAGTATTTGTATTTTTTTTTATAAGTTTTTTTTTTTTTTTTTTAATACAAGATAGAGTTTATGACAATTCCGATTTGATTAGTATAATTTACGTATATGTGAATAGTTTTACTAAAAATAATAACTTATATTTGCTTAAAATATTCTTTTTAAATTGAAAAATGTAAATAATAATAAATTATGACGGAGTGTGTTTGCATATATATACACCAAATTTATAAAAAGATTGTTATTTATCATTCGGAATTTAACACTTGGAGTAAAAATGGAGGTGAGTAATACACTTTACATACAGTGCTCGTTTGAAATCTAAACTATTATTTTATTTAATTATTTTATTCTAGAATTGGCAAATAATATCATTTTTGTTGATAACTTCCTGTTTGATATTTATCAGAGGTAAATTCTATTTTACATTATTTATGCCTATTAAGTTTATTAACTATCCATATTATTTCATGTAAATTTTTTAATGTATACTGCAATTGTTTAAGATAAGTTATAAAGCTCCCTTCAAGGTAGATTAAAAGATGTCTAAGAACAAATACACTAATGTATTTATAATAAGATTGGAGGACAAGTGCATTTGATAAAATTTTGAAAATAAAAAGATATAATATATATTTTTTTTTTTTTCAAAAGTTTGGCATAATATATTGAAAATTATAAAACATATATTACATAATGTTGTATATGCTTAGGTACAAATATCAAATTAGTCTTATTCAAAAAGTATTTACGTGGACTTTTGAAAAGGATTAAAAAAGATGAAGTTCCCTTCCTTAACCTTCAGAATTAATAAAATTTTCATAGCGAAAAAATAAATAAAAAATATACTATTTAAAAAAGTATATTTTTAAAATATATAAAAATAAACTTTTTTTTAATGCGATTCGTATGCGAAAAAATAATAGGAAAATGTAAAAAATATTATATTATACAGCAATTTTCAAGAATTTATAAAAACTTTTTAATTTTTGTAAGATAATTATGATGTGATTTATAATAAGACATATCTTCTGAGCTATATTTAGGAATTGTACCATCCCGAATGTTATTTTTATTTAATTTATGGAAAAATTATCCTTTACATTTTATGCTTCGCTATTTTCATTTTATTTTAATAGGTAAAAAAAGCGTTCAACTTGATTCACTGTTGTCCACATTTAGTTGTCATTACTTATTTATACCCCAATTGTGAGCTTCTTATGTAATATTAATAGCAAAAATTAAAATGATATTTCAATTTATAATACTTTTCAATAGCTTTAAAGAACTGTTTTTATTCTTTCCATACTGTCAAAATTGACAAGTTCATAATATAATAATATAATTCACTTATACTGTAAAGAGTTATTTAGGTAAAAAAATTCAGCCTTTTTTATCTACTTGATGTTCAAAAGTACTGAAATACGTTATCATTTTAGAAATATGCCAGTATTGTTTTAATGCTAGTAACCGTTACTACAGCAGAACTGCCAATACTTTCGCAGCATTGCATCTCTTGTTAATTTATGATTGAGATTACTCAAGGTTGTTATAAATTGGCTTACCACTAACGGGCATTTAGAACAGAATTATAATGTAAATAAATAATAAGATTAATAATTAATTTTAAATTTTCTGCCATCATTAAAAAAAAAATGTTTGAATAAATTTCTAATATAGTTATATTAGATTATAATGATAAATTTTTATCAGGAAAATTTTATTCGAATAATAAAGTAGTTATGAGATATGAAATTATATATATTTTGTTATATTTCAAAATTAAAAATAACATCTGATTTTGTGTATGAAAAAACAATCTTTAATTTGTTGACATTTGTACAATTACTGCTATTCGTATATATTTAATTTAAATAATAATATTTTAAAATTATCCGAATATATTTATAGTAGCATTATTCTTCACATAAAAATTAATATAAGATTTATTTCTTAATTATTTTAAAGCTGAAATACATTTCAGTTTCTATATAACTCTTTTAAAATTATTTGAATACATTTTTATTTGAATTGAAAATTTGAAACAATGTTATTTCAATAATATTCAAAATTATTATTCAGATGAAAATATATTTAAATGTTTTAGCTTCGATGCGAAGCTGAGAAGGTATTAATTTTACTATGATGTGTTTTTTATTTTTTTGTTTCCATTACCACTTATTCTCAGCTCTCACTAGACCGGTTTTGAAGAATAATATGTCAAAAGATCACAGATCCTATCTAGTCGAAGATATTACCCTCAAAAATTGAAAAAATTTCCCTCGTTCCCCGTAAATGGAGGAAATACCCTAAAAATTTATAAGTTTTAAAATTGGTAATTTTCGACATTTTTAAAAAAAATTTTCTTAAAACTGCTATAACTTCTTCAAAAATGAACAAATAAACATAATTTTTTTTATACATACCTTAGTTATTTATTTATTATTTGGTATATTTTTGTGAACATTAGCCCTTTACCTGCCCACAGGAGTGATTTCAAAATGACAACTTTGTTACAAAAAATTAACTTTATGAATCTAGCTTTTGAAATTGTTCCGGAAATACTGATACTTTAATATATATATTTTATATTAAAATACTTTACAAGTGATTGTCATAGTATTGAGTCCACAGATTTTTATAAAAATTATATAAATCTAACTTAAATTGAATATAAATTTAGTCTTATTTTGAATATTTTGCCTCCTACGTTAAAAGAAACAACTTTGAATTTTCAAACTAGCTTAAATTGTCCTTTTTATCTAAAATACGTGTGATAAACGGACGTCTAGTCAGTTATACGTCAGTGTTTTATACTCGGGAACGACTTTCAAATAATCAAAAAATGATTATTCAGATGAAAATATATTTAAATGTTTTAGCTTCGATGCGAAGCTGAGAAGGTTTAATTTTACTATGATGTGTTTTTTTTTTTTTTACGTCTGTTGCCACTTTTTCTCAGCTCTCACTAGACCTATTTTTTTCAAAAGTACGTCAAAAGATCACAAATCGTATCTAGTTGGAGACATTACCTTTAAAAATTGAAAAAAATTCCCTCGTTCCCCGAAAATGGGGGAAATATCCAAAAAAATTACAAATTTAAAAATCGGTAAATTTTGTCTTTTTTTTCTACTAAAACCTTAGATATTTTCCTTTCGTTTGATATCATTTTGTTGAAAATCTAACACTTAACCTGCTCATGGAGGGGGGGATTTAAAATAGCAACTTTTTTACAAAAACTAACTTTTTCAACTTAATTTTTGAAAATGTTCCGGAAATACTACGTCCTTTAAACATATATCAAATTAAAGCTTATTTTATGTGCTATAAAATGAAAAAAAAAAATTTGTCCCGACACTTTATCTTCTGCATTTAAACGGCTGCCGTAGTTAAAAAAACGCTATTTTTGTGTTAAAATTTTCGATTTTAAATTTTCAACTTAAAAATGCTATAACTTTTCGAAAAATGTATGTATCAGGACAATTTTTTTTTCTAAATATATTATAAGTATATCTTTCATTTAACATACTTTTTATTAAAATTGGACAAATTCCCCTTATATAGGGGAATTGAAAAAACTTGAAATATTGTAAAAAATATAGAACTTTTTCAACTTAATTTTTGAAAATGTTCCGGAAATACTACGTCCTTTAAACATATATCAAATTAAAGCTTATTTTATGTGCTATAAAATGAAAAAAAAAAATTTGTCCCGACACTTTATCTTCTGCATTTAAACGGCTGCCGTAGTTAAAAAAACGCTATTTTTGTGTTAAAATTTTCGATTTTAAATTTTCAACTTAAAAATGCTATAACTTTTCGAAAAATGTATGTATCAGGACAATTTTTTTTTCTAAATATATTATAAGTATATCTTTCATTTAACATACTTTTTATTAAAATTGGACAAATTCCCCTTATATAGGGGAATTGAAAAAACTTGAAATATTGTAAAAAATATAGATCTTTTTCAACTGAACTTTTGAAAATGTTCCGGGAATACTGCGTCCTTTAAACATATATCAAATCAAAGATTATGTTATATACTATCAAATAAAAAAAAAAAATTTGTGCCAACATCTTATCTTCTATGTGCAAATGGCTGTCGAAAATTAAAAAAAAATGTAATGTTTGCGATAAAAATCACCTTCTATCGGAATGTTTTTTATACTTAAAACAGCCATAACTTTTTCAAATATTAACAAATCAAAATAATATTCTTTTGTATTGAAACCTTAGATATTTCCCTTTCATTTTATATAATTTTTTTTGAAAATCTAACACTTATTCTGCTCACTGGGGGGATTTAAAATAGTAACTTTTTTACAAAAACTAACTTTTTCAACTTAATTTTTGAAAAAGTTCCGGAAATACTGCGTCCTTTAAACATATTTATCAAATTAAAGCTTATTTTACGTACTATAAAATAAAATAAAAAAATTTGTCCCAACGACCTATTTTCTATGCGCAAATGGCTACCGTATTAAAAAATATGCTATTTTAACAAATTTTTTTTTTAAAATTAAACACTATCTACAGATTTGCATCGAAGCGTTTTTTATGATAGTGATTTTAATCACTGTCAGATATCATCTATACTGGACCCAACTATGCCACGACCCCACTGTGCCGCCNTCAGATATCATCTATACTGGACCCAACTATGCCACGACCCCACTGTGCTGGGTTTTTTTTTTATAATATGCCATGAACATCTAAAAAACGCCAATACAATAAAAAATATATCTATTGATATAACGTTGAATTTAATGCATAAATTATTTTTCGGTTATTTTGAAAATTATTTTAGCCAGTAGCTGTCACGCTTTATTTGATAAAAATTATATAAAAAAGATTTGATTAGGAGAAGCACAGAATTAAAAAAATATCACATTGGGAGTATTTTTTAGATTTTTTATTACAAAAATTCTTCAACTTTATCTTATATTCTAAAATTTACCAACTTTTTTTTTAATAACTATATATACATACAAAATTTTATAATTAGTCGTAAAATGGCAGAATGACTAAAATATAATTTATGTTTATAAAAACAATTATAATTCGACCATCAACTTAAGGCATAAATTTTATTTTTAATACAACCAAAACTAATTTAAAAATTGTGCACATTTAGCAATTCAATATGAATTATCAGATGACAAGAAAATAATCCAATTCGAAAATGTTATGACGAGGAAATTTGCTGATAATCTGAATTTGGAAAATTTGAAATTAACTTATGAAAATGAACACTCATGGAAAGAAGATACCACAAGCACTGCCGCTGCTAATGGGTACTTAGAATGTTTAAAATATGCACATAAAAATGGATGTCCGTGGGATGAGAGCACAACAGAAGCAGCAGCTTCTAATGGTAATCTAGAGTGCTTAAAATACGCACATGAAAATGGTTGTCCGTGGAATGAAAACACAACTATAGCAGCTGCTTCTAATGGTCATTTAGATTGCTTAAAATATGCTCACAAAAATAAATGTCAGTGGAATGAAAGTACAACAGAAGCAGCTGCATCTAATGGTAATTTAAATTGCTTAAAGTATGCTCATCAAAATAACTGTAAATGGGATCCAATCACTATCATGAAAAGTGCTACCATAAAGGGCAATCTAGACATTTTAAAATATGTTCACGAAACTGGATGTGAATTGGATATATTTATAGTTACTATGGCTGCCAAAATAGGTAATCTAGATATTTTAAAATATGCACATGAAAATGGATGTCCTTTGGATGAAAACATTGCAAAATTAGCTGCTTATTATGGCAATTTAGATTGCTTAAAATATGCTCATGAAAATGGTATTAAATTGGATAAAGGCATAACTTTTGCAGCTGCCTCAAGAGGACATTTAAACATTTTAAAATATGCGTATGAAAAAGGTTGTCCGTGGGATGAAAGAGTAACAGAATCAGCTGCTTTTTATGGTAATATAGAATGTTTAAAATATGCTTATGACAAAGGATGTGAATGGAGTGAAATTAATATAGTGAGAATTGCTATCATAAAGGGCCATCTAGACATTTTGAAATATGTTCACCAAAATGGATACGAATTAGATGAACTCACAAGTTATATGGCAGCTATAATTGGTAATCTAGAAATTTTAAAATATGCACATGAAAATAGATGTCCGTGGGATGAAAATACTACAGAAGCAGCTGCTTCTAGTGGTAATTTAGAATGCTTAAAATATGCTCATGAAAATGGCTGTAAATGGGATGAAAGAACAACAACAGCAGCTGCAAAAAATGGTTGTATAGATATTTTAAAATATGCACATGAAAATAAATGTCCGTGGGATGAAAATACTACAGAAGCAGCTGCTTCTAGTGGTAATTTAGAATGCTTAAAATATGCTCATGAAAATGGCTGTAAATGGGATGAAAGAACAACAATAAGAGCGGCACAAAATGGTAAAATAGAAATTTTGAAATACGCATATGAAGAGGGATGTCCGTGGGATGAAAGAACAACAGAAGCAGCGGCTTCTAATGGTCATTTAAATTGCTTAATGTATACTCATATAAATGGCTGTAAATGGGATGAAACAACAACAGCAATAGCTGCATCTATTGGTAATTTAGATATTTTAAAATATGCACATGAAAATGAATGTCCATGGGATGAGAGCACAACAGAAGCAGCGGCTTCTAATGGTCATTTAAATTGCTTAATATATGCTCATGAAAATAACTGTAAATGGGATGAAAGCACAACTGAAGTAGCTGCGTCTAATGGTAATATAACCATTTTAAGATATGCGTATGAAAATGGTTGCCCATGGGATGAAAGCACAGCAGAAGCAGCTGCTTCTAATGATAATTTTGAATGCTTAAAATATGCTCATGAAAATAACTGTAAATGGGATGAAAGCACAACAGAAGTAGCTGCGTCTAATGGTAATATAACCATTTTAAAATATGCACATGAAAATGAATGTCCGTGGGATGAAAAAACAACAGAAGCAGCTGCTTCTAGTGGTAATTTAGAATGCTTAAAATATGCTCATGAAAATGGCTGTAAATGGGATGAAAGAACAACAACAAAAGCTGCACTTAAAGGGAATTTAGAAATTTTAAAATATGCACATGAAAATGAATGTCCGTGGGATGAAAAAACAACAGAAGCAGCTGCTTCTAGTGGTAATTTAGAATGCTTAAAATATGCTCATGAAAATGGCTGTAAATGGGATGAAAGAACAACAACAAAAGCTGCACTTAAAGGGAATTTAGAAATTTTAAAATATGCACATGAAAATGAATGTCCGTGGGATGAAAAAACAACAGAAGCAGCTGCTTCTAGTGGTAATTTAGAATGCTTAAAATATGCTCATGAAAATGGCTGTAAATGGGATGAAAGAACAACAACGAAAGCGGCACGTAATGAGAATTTAGACATTTTAAAATATGCACATGAAAATGGATGTCCGTGGAATGGAAGTACAACAGAAGCTGCTGCTTCTCATGGTAATTTAGAATGCTTAAAATATGCCCACAAAAATGGTTGTATGTGGGGTAAAAATACTATACGTAACTCTATCGAAAATGGAAATTTACAGTGTTTGAAATATGCCCATGAAAATGGTTGCAAGTGGGAAGATGGAGCAACTTTTGTTGCTGTAGAAAATGGTTTTTTTGACTGTTTAATATATGCTTACGAAAATGGGTGTAAATGGGCTGAAGGCACAACTAGAACTGCTGCAACTTGTAATTATTTAGAATTTTTGGTGTATGCTCATGAAAATGGATGTAATTGGGATAATGATACAATAGCTGCAGCAGCTTTGCATGGTAATTTAGATTGCCTAAAATATGCTCATGAACATGGATGTAGTTGGATTGAAGGCACTACAAGGGGGGCTGCAGCAAATGGACATTTAGACTGCCTACAGTATGCTCATGAAAATGGGTGTGAGTGGGACGAAGGAACAACAAGGGAAGCTGCTGCTAGTGGTTATATTGACTGTTTGATATATGCACATGAAAATGGATGTAAATGGGATGAAGGAACAAAAAGTGGAGCTGCTGCACATGGCCACTTAAATTGCCTAAAATACGTTCATCAAAATAATTGTCAATGGGACGAAGGCACAACAAGAAATGCTGCTGCAAATGGTCAATTTCGTTGCTTAAAATATGCCCATGAAAATAAGTGTCCTTGGAGTACAGGCACTATTCAAAAAGCTATTCAAAATGGTTATACTGATATAGTCTATTATTCGGCCGTAAATGGCTGTCTTAATTAGTTTTCTATTTGAAAAATCGTTATTTTTATATACTCATTTAAGTTGACTATTTACATTATAATATAAATAAATTGTCTTAAAATTCGATTCGTGATTGAGATTATATTGTTTCTATATATAATATTATAAATTATATGGCCATCATAATAATTACTTAATTTGAAAGTATAACCAAATTCCATTATGTTCTATCAAATTTTTTTTTTTTGCTAAGGCTTTTTATCATAATACAAAAAACTTACTCTCTAGTCATTTACATTAAAGAAAAAAATCTACAATATTTTGCTAATAAAAAAAATTTACTGTATTGACTACTTATTTTTTTATATTAAAATTTAAAATATAGTTATAGTACTACTTTTTTGTTTACAAAATATATATATAGATATTTTTTAAGTATTGAAATACAAAAAAGTAAGTGCAGTCGGGATCCATCGAAATGGATACGAAGCAAATAGCAAATAGCAAAATAAAATTTATAATCAGGATATAATCGAAGGAATAGGAGTTTATGTTGCTTTTGTAATTATCCACCAATTTCTTAAAATTAAACACTATCCAAAGATTTGCATTGAAGCGTTTCTTATGATAGTGATTTTAATCACCGTCAGATATCGTCTATACTTATCCCAACTATGCCACGTCCATACTGTACTACCGTTTTTTATTAGTTGATACAGCAAAATATATGTCATTAAAATTTAAAAAACTTCTAAATTAACTTACTAAACAAATACTTATTTAGTACTGGAATGTTTTAAATTTATCTTGTATTGATAGATTTTTTTGAATTATTATAATATAATAATCAAAATAGAAAAATAAAATATGTGGAGGTGTGTTCACTAAGAAGGGGGGAATGGGATTTTGTCAATTGGTGAGCATCAAGGTAATATTAGGTTTGTAGAATAAAAGGGTTTAGGACTGTTAGGGCGGAGGGCTATAAGTTCTATGCTGCTTATCCTAACATGCCTATGACTATGTTGTAAGTGGACTGTATAAGGAAAGGGAAGGATCTTCTGACCAAAACGCAAGTACCCTGAATAGGGAGGGTTCGCCTTCACTAATCAGGGGAGTGAAACCTATTTAATAACTAGTAATTAAAATAAATAAATTATTACTAGAAATAAGTATATAAATTTGTAATTGTGATTTTACTGATTATAATGAAAAAAGGTAATAATCTATTCTCTAAGAAATTTTAAATAGCTGGAGGAATAATTAAAAATAAACACAACTACATCACTTACAAGTCACTATCACAAAATAAATTCCTTAAATGAATTGATCATTACTGTATAATATAAAGCTATCTTATATTACCTTTTTTATGCTTACAATATTATTTAATTATTCAACAATAACACTAATCAAATAAAAAAACTGATAGAACAGTAATATAAATATGCGCACTGCTCAACTGCGACAAGCACCTTTAACAAAACTTAGAACACAATACTACACAAAAACTAAATTGAACAATTAACTATCACAGAAGATTTACTATGTTAGAATAATTACACAAAAAAGATAGGAATCTTAAATTTAAAATATATGTTCTTAAAACAAAACTTAATAAAAAATAATATAACAGACACATCAAACTCCAAATTAATAAACAAATTTCTTATCTCACAAAAAAAGTTTTTTTTAACCCAATATTACATGGGCAGGGAAAGGAAGGGCGAATAAGTGCAGTTCAGTCATGTAGGTAGAACTGCGAGTAGATGCTAAAATTGCGGCTAGAGCACGACACCTAATTGATATTAAGCTAAATATTCAACCCCGTTGAAAGCTCCTGCTTTCAACCACGACCTGGATTTTCTTGTTCACTATCTGGTTGGTCTTCATCCTTGACGTTTGGTAGTAGGCATAACTTTACAACAGGTCTTTTCAATATAGTTCCATCTTGTGCCTTTATAGACACCACCCAAACAACACCATCTTGACCAGGAAAAACCTCCACTACTCTCACCAATTTCCACTTAAATGACGGTAAATTTTCATCCTTCATTATAGCTAGAACACATATTATTTTCCATATCATGGCTTCGAGTCAGCCACCTTGTTCTTTTTTGTAGTTGAAGAACATATTTTTATGTCCAACGTCGCCAAAAAAGTTGTACTTGTGAACGCACTAATACCGAATGACGCAATATATTATGACAAATGTTTGACACGTCCGGCTCAATTGGTGTATTAACTGAACTACCAATTAAAAAATGACCTGGTGTAAGTGCTTCATAATCTGCAGGATCAGTTGATACAGCGATTATAGTTTAGAATGGCTTCAATTCTACACATCATTGTGGTTAGTTCTTCGAAATTTAATAGAGCGCCTTTGATGACTTTGTATAAATGTGACTTTGCTGACTTGACTGCTGCTTCCCAAATACCATCAAAATGGGGAGCTGACGGAAGAATGAAATTCCACATGATACTCCTATCAGCTAAATGCTTATCTACCGATTGTTGACTACTGACTTCGTTAAAATACTTCTTCAACATAATTATCATATTGATCCAATGCAGGCTGCCATGATAGGCCCAAAAAATTTACAGTATGTTCATCGTTTAAACTCAGTAGATAAGTTGATAGATAGTATTTCATAAATTTATCATATTCCAACGCTAATTTTTCATCCCGTCGTAGACGTTTCTCCAAATTATAGAATCTAGTACAAACCATTTGAAGTGAGCCACCCAGTTTATCCTTTGCTAAGGGTAGTTTAACAACAAATCTTCCATTTTCATCTCTTTTTACATTGGCCTTGAAATGTTCTTCTGCGTTAACTTCTTCCTGTACTTGAAGATGGCGTTTGATACATGTCAATGATAAGGCTGAATTATGATTGTTGTTTGCATGATGTAGTGATATTCCAACACAAATATTATAATTAATTGTTTCTGACTGCACATCAACACCAGGTACACGTCCAGAAAATATCCATCCCAATGTTGTACGGTGAACATAAGAATCTGAAGACACTTGATATCGCTCACATTCTAAAATCTTAAAGAACACCTCAGCTCCAAGAAGTAAATCGATTGGACTTGATGTAAAAAACTACGGATCAGCAAACTCGTTCTGAATATTCTGATGCAAGGTCAAATTTGCTATGTTGATTGAAAAAGTAGGCAAGTGCAATTATGATGGGCAAAGTGTGTAACTGTACAACTGTTCTAAATGTATCAAATCTCGATTTGAGATGTTACCAATGGGTGACTTCCTTTTAACGCTATCAATTTTATGTAATTGAATAGTCACAAAAAAACTTATTGTAAATTTTATGTACAGATTGTTTTTTTTTTATTAATAAAGAGAAAAAAAATTAAGTATTTGACATGTATCATTATTATACCTTAAGAAAAAAATTAAAAAGCATCAGAATAATTTAAATGAAAATATTGAAACAAATGCATTTTTGCTATCAAACAATTTTTTCAATTTTTTTAAAATTCGATTTGTTTTTACACCGATTACGAATATGCAAAAATAAAATACCGGTCAAAAATTGTTAAAAATGTATAATAATTTAAAGTTAATAATCCACTAATTTCTTAGAATTATACATTATATACAGATTTACATAGAAGCGTTTCTTATGCGTTCTTTTTAAGTATTTCTATTCCTAAAATTAATAAATACTATCTATAAAAATTTCAAATATTCAAGATAAAAATGTTATGTTCAAACATATAGTAATTAATCATCTCTGTTTTGCCAAAAGTGACAAAGTACATAATGGATTATTAATTATATTATGATTTATATTTGAAAAAATCTTTAAATAACTAAACTTTTTTTCATTCAGTGAAATTTAAAAATGAAATAATATAATATTTTATATACTGAGTGGTCTGTTGCATATTCTGATAACCCTAATAACTTTTGAACCGTCCAATATGTTGCGTTAATTGTTTTAAAAAAAATTGTATGTTGAGACTATAAAAAATTTATGATATATAATATTCTTTTTATTTATTAAAAATCATTTTTTTTATTTACGAAAAATGTAAAAAATAATTACATGTTAGCCATTTTGTAAAGTAGATTTTAAGAAAAAATTTGATAAGAAGATATTTTTTTATCAGTTTTCAAATTATTTGTAAGTAACATTTTAAAGTTTGTGAAAATTTGAATTTAGGATATGTTTTTAAAAATACACATTGAAACGTTTCTACGTTTGTTCTCTTTAAATATGAAAATACAACACAAATTGTTCGACTAATCGATTTGTTCTGTTTTATTTTATATAAAGATGAATATATACATATATTAATAGACTAACTACTATATCAGTCTTATTTTAGAAACTATTTAATTTGGGGTGAAGTAGAAGTATAACCCTCTGGGTAGTGTAGAACAATTGCCCACATATTATTTATTTTTAAAACCTTCTAAAAACAAAAGAATATTCTAATTTCCTATTTTCGAGTTCTCGCTAAGACTGGTATATAAAATAATCATTACAATAAATATAATAAAAAATAATAAAAAAAATAATAGATAAATACTTTAATTTACATTTTTTGAATAAGGGTTGTCGAACAGCGCTGTCCAGCGGACTTTCTTGCAACTGTCAACCAATGATAAAGCAGTAGCGTAACGCTACAACATTAAACTTTTTAACATGAATTAATAGTTGTATTTAATTTTATATTATATTAATAATATTATATTTTATAATATTTTATGAATGTAACCAATGTTATTAGTCTCTTCAATCACTAAATCGTATTTAATCATATAAACTTGTGGTATTATTTTACTGATTACTACTTTTGTTATTTATTTTGCTAAACTTAATCAACATAATTTAATGAGATGTATAGATTATTAATATTATTAAAAAAAATTAAATTTACTTAGTAAAAAATAGTTACTTGTTCATTCTTTTTAAATTTTCTATCAAAATAATTTAAGTAGAAATTTTGTTAAGTATATTAAAACATTTTTGTTGTTTTTAAATCACTCTTATAATATTTAAAAAAATCAAGCTACTAATTATGATTATATCCTGAATAGAGTCTTATGATATAATCTTTGCTATTCATTTTCAAAAATTTAACTCTGAAAGTTAGTC